GTTAACTTGCCCACCATTGCTCTGTGTAACACAGATTCTCCTCTGCGTTACGTAGACATTGCTATCCTGTGCAACAACAAGGGAGCTCACTCTGTGGGTGTGATGTGGTGGATGCTGGCCCGGGAAGTCCTGCGCATGTGTGGCATGATCTCCCGGGAGCACCTGTGGGAGGTCATGCCCGATCTGTACTTCTACAGAGATCCAGAAGCTATTAAAAAGGAAGAACAGGCTGCTGCTGGAAAGGCTGTGACCAAGGAGGAGTTTCAGGGAGAATGGACAGCCCCTGCTCCTGAATTCAATGCTACTCAGCCTGAAGTGACAGACTGGTCTGAAGGCATCCAGGTGCCCTCTGTGCCGATTCAGCAGTTCCCTACTGAAGACTGGAGTGCTCAGCCTGCAACTGAAGACTGGTCTGCAGCCCCCACTGCTCAGGCCACTGAGTGGGTGGGTACCACCATGGAATGGTCTTAAACTGTCTTTTAAAAAAGTGGAAATAAGGTTGACAGAAAATAAACAATGCGTTTCATAAGAAAAAAAAGAAAAAAATTTTCCTTTAACTTTTCAAAAAGGGAAGGGTCCGGGGGGGGGGAGCCTTGTGAGGGGAGAAATGTGCAACAATGAGTAAATGGAAATCCAAAGCCTCTGTAAATTTTTACTGAAATCAATAATAAATTTAAATTAAAAAAATTAAAGTTAGAGTAAGGATGCCAATGGATTTATAACTGCTCATGCTAATAACACTATATCGTGGCATGGAGGATGAGTAGTGGAACTGTATCCACATTTACAAAATTCTTCTTACCAAAACCATTTCTGGAAAATAGGAACTGCACTGGAACATGTATCTCTGGACTGGAAATGATCATATTGTTAATATTTCTAGCCTTAAGCTTAGAAGATTATAATGTTCAAAATTATTTGTTATATATTTGTTTAAATTTTTCCCTCTTTTAACAACTGGGATCTAGAGGGAAGAGAAAAGACCAGAGAATGGCCAAAATTATTGGGGCAGCTATTGCTGCCAGTTTAGGGCCTGTGTC